ATTGCGTTATAGCTGACAGATGCTTGGGGAAGGGATTGAGCTTTTTTTCCTTTGCGTGAGAAATAAAGAGTCGACTGGTATGTTTAGAATAAGTGGCAGTAAGTAAAATCATGACAAGCTATAAAATGAAATGTAGACTAACATGGCGCATCGGACTAGCCGATAGAGACAATTTTGACAATAAAATGGGTCGTCTTAAATTAATATTATTCAAGGATAATTATCACCTGGGCTTGATTGAAAATATGATTAGAATAATAACAATTATTTTGCCAAATTTGGGATAAATAAGTTGAGATTAAGAAAAGGAGAGAAAGTAGACCCACCCTCAAGATCGGATTGCAGTCAAATAACATGTTCACATGGTCGCCTTTGTGTCATCAAAGTCAATCGACTAGGCAATAGACAGAATGTAAGGAACTACTTATGCTTAATTAGTAGACTCGGGCATAAAAAAGATGTTGAGCCGCCTGAAAAAAGAAGGTGGCTAAACAAGTCTTTTCTTTCATTCATGAATATAAAAGCAGGTTTTGATAAATCTCCTTTTTCTTCATCAATCTTCATCAAGGACAAAAATGTTTAACCACTTTTTGTCTTTATCAACACAATCGTAGTGATGATTAAAGTTCATAAAATATGTATAAACATAACGCTAGTGATGGTGGTCATCACTGCTAATTTGGTACACCTACGAACATATAAAGTCGCTTATACACACAAACAGACTCACTTACATGCTTCCAGACGTACGTATAACCTGAATTAACCGAATCACTTAATATCGCATGATCCAAAATGATCATGTCCGTCATACCACGAACGACAATTTAGCCCATTTTCGCCGGACTCGAATGAGATTGCCTCTGGTGAGATGCACCCTCGAGTCTGTTCATCGCACACTTTCACTCGAACTGAATGCAAACTCAGCAGCCAGAAGTTGAACCACGAAACACTTGGTTTGGGCGCTAATTATGACCTCTTCTGAAGAGAGTGAGATGCCCAGTTTCTCCTTGATTGTCCCATTCCAACCGTGTCCGAAAGCCGTTCTTCACCAAAATTGCCCACTTCTACCAGTTGCATTAGAAAACTGACTCTTGTGGCGTCAGCCTGACCCGAATTCCCATGTTCACCCACCCTCTTCTCCCCTCCTCCCCTAATCCGCACCCACTCTGACCTGCCGTGACGACACATCGGCTCACGCCGCCCCACCCTTCCTCCTCGCTACAGCACCCTTACAGCCGACCAATTTGCAGATTGACAGCACATCCTTGACATGGTCAGCTCCTGTTACCGACGGGGGCAGTGCGATCATCAACTACAACATAGTGTACATGTACATCAGCGACGCGTTCTCCGTCGAAACCACAAGCTCAGCAGACCGCTCCTATCTTTTTCCCAATTACCCCACCTGCGATACGCCCATTTACAAGGTCCACAGCAAAAACCGATTCGGCTCCTCCAAGATGAATGCCTTCGTAGACAATCTTGACAAAAGTAAGTTGGAGAAGCTACCGGAGAATGGGTGACGTGTATGTGTGCAATGAAGAGATTTGTGGAAATCCTTTTGCTACAGTTTCATCGCCTCCCGGCAGGTGAGATTCACTCAGACCGTCCGGCCGGTCTGAGATACACAACCGACTCCAGTCCGAATGAGGCTGCAAATAAACAACTACTTAATGCTGGAAGTGGTTTGTCCTCGTTTTCACAATTTGATTGTGTTGTCATGGCGACATAGTTGAATGCACCTTGTTCGAGGTCGTCAGTGGGTTTGCTATCATCAGCAGCATTCGTATTTGGTCAAGACATTGGCTCCACTTGTCTCCTGGACGAGTTGTAGCCGGACGTGGTGCTGACAATGGCCAGACTCACTGATTATGGAAATGTACTGGGAATTATATGAAATGTATTCACCCTATTTCGGTTAAGGTGATGAAGGACTGGTAGAAGAAGAATTTTCCCACAATCAGTCGAGTAGAGCTGGCAATTATGACGGCCACGAGAGCAGGTGACTTCAAGCAAGAGGCATGACAACACGATCAAGTTGTTAAAATGAAGCTAGACCACTTCTATGCGTTAAAGGGCCACCCCATGACTAACGCCAATTTACAATAATTTTGGTAAGCAGGCTTCTGCTTATTTATAGAACGACATTTAGTGAGAAGACATGGAAAAGTGTAGGAATTTCTTATATTTTTGATTGTACTACTCTTGACTGTAAATGAGTAGGTTTTCGAAAATACCAGTAAATCATATCAATGATTTATGCTCAACCTATTTGGTTCAAGGCAGTGATTGCCAAACTGTGCGCCACGAAATATTGTAAAAGCTTCAATTTGAGAAAATGTGCATTGATTTGCAGGCTTATTCATTACATTAATTATTAAATATTAATTTAATGTTAAAAAAATAATAAATATACACGAGTTTTACTTATGTTTATCTCTTACTTACGAATAGTCAGCTTAGAGTCATGGAAAAATTTAAATTGAAAAAGGGCGCCGCGACTAGAAAAAGTTTGTGAACCGCTAGTTTAAAGTATTGAAGGGAAAGCAAGGCTCCGTGAAATTGAATGGAAACTTCAGCTCTGCTCATATGATTGTAGGAAAAATCAACTACCAATCCTTCCTCCCCTGAAACGAAATGTCCATACTTCACAAAAGATATTCTCATCCAGAGTGTGAGAGGCAAGGCTATGCGGAATTGAATGGACACGTCAAGTCTGCTCAACTGATTGTGGCTGAATGCAAGAAGCCGTTCTACATCACTTCACACAAACAAATTTCATATATTATATTTAACGTTAGCCTTGAAGGCCTACTTCAGACGAGAAGCAAGTAGCATCAAACTTCGGGCTCATACGACGTTGCTGATGACGCATGGAAGTCAGAGGGTTTGAAGAGATTGACGACCTGGTCGCAGCAGATGACAATGTTGAACAAGCTTCAGCTCGCGCATTTGCAGAAACCAACCCGTCCGCTCCGACATCGTCTCCCTCCTATTCGTCCACCCGGTCTGCATCG